CAGAGTTATCAGCATTGGATATGTTACAGATGTACAGTCTGGGTTTACTGGTCAAATGAGCTCATGTAGTCTCCATTATAAAATTTTTTAGCAAGAGTAATACCTTAGAATAATAGCTTATTTTGTTTGATGTCTCTTGATGTTTTTATAGACAATCTAAATGTAATTGTTGAGGATAGGTAAACTACACAGATAAGAAAGACAAAGGTTCTTGGAGGAACTTTTTAACAATAATTAAGTTTTATAGAATATATGCTTGGAAAATAACTTTCAAGATCCTTTTGGTAACTTAAAACTTTAGGGTTTTGCTAAATTAAGTAAATGACAAAATTATTGTTGAGTATCTAGGTCATTTCCACATAATATAAAATGTTAAAAATTGATTACTAAGCATAGATTTGCCTGCCTTTGGTTTCTTGCCTCAAAGAAACTGAAAGATGCTTGAGTTTGTTGATAAAAATGTTTTGTGCATACTGAGGAATTTTCTATGGAAAAGCTTATATTTCTAGAAAGTCTATACACAAGGAAAGTAAAATGTATGTTTTCTGTAAAGGAGGTATAAAAAATAGAGATATTTTTGTTTATTTTTTTAAAGCAAGATAAATTTGTCCTAAAATACTAGGAGGGAAAAAAGAAGACATGGGCCAAATTCTAAATGTAAAAAAGAAAGTTATAAAAACCTTGTGGAGAAAGACCCAGAGGAAAACAAACCTATATATGGTCAAGTTGACTAAGATTAAGATGGAATTAATTAAGTCATTATGTTTCAAGACCAAAAGTAGTTGATGTAAAAGGAAAATTTGGCTTCCTCTCCCTTAAAAAGATAATTCTCTTGAAATTTTGTCTGCTCTTGATAATGATGTTATAAAAGGGTTTTCTTTATTTTTGAGTAATTCTACCTAAAAGACAGAAGATCAATGCTTTGTTAAAATAATTTCCTATGGTTAAAAACACTGATGTCTCTATATTAAAGTTTTTTGACTGTTTTGACTCTCTGTTTGCCTTTGACATCTTCTGTTGTCACCTTGATTGAATGGATACCTAAGTGTTGTTTGCTATTTGACTAAGCATTTTAAAACTTTTTGATATTTTTGGCAAACTTCACCCCAAGTTAAAGTCTTATTTTGACTTATAAAGAAAATTGAGAATTTCCAATCAACTCTGAAACTTTTAAGAAGTTTGTTCTCTCTTTCTATCAAGAGGAAGATATTAAACTAACTAAAATTACTTGGTATGTTAAACTACATGGGCAGCATTATCAACTAAATGATAATAAGTCCTCCTAGGTTATATTATGTGGGTATATGTTATTGATATGTGTTTTAAAAATTACATAATATTTCTAAAATTCTGACCTGTCCTGATAGCCACAATTCTGGTTATTAAATTAAAGTGTTGTATGTCACAGAAGTAGCCAAGTTTCTTTGTCAATTGCCTTTTTAAAGTCTTTTGTCATTTGCAGACAGCTGTTTTACTCTTTTTTTTTCACAAATATGTTTCATCTTCAGCGAGATTCACAGAAAGGACTCTGACTCTTGCTGTAGAATACCGGTTTGTGATAAACTTTTAGATTATCAAACTCAGATGGGTAAGAAAATACAGAACTGTAACTGAAAAACTGATGGCCTCATGAAACTGCTAATAGAATATCAAGAGTTGATTACATGAAACTAAATGAAGTAAGAAGGATATCAAGAGTTGACTACATGAAACTAAATGAAGTAAGAAGGATGATTTCAATTTTTATGACTTTTGATTTGAAATATTGTTGATTTTTAATGTTTTTAGAGGCTTAAGGAAACCTTTTGGTCTTAAGGAACTGTCTTTTAGCAATTTGCAAACAAAAATAAAACACCATGTTTTCTTCCTACCTGATCCCACCAGAATTTTGAAATTCTTAGTGAATAAGTCTTATTTTCATGGTAATATGGTTGTTTGCATAAGTTCAGTAAGAATATATTCTCCTTATATCAGAATACAATTGGAAACACTAGTTATATTGTCAAAGCATTGACTGGAATGTCAATTTGAGAGAGAAAAATATATATAGACTCAGATAGTACCAGACAGCTTTTCAGGAATTATTTATGTAGTAAAGCTACTGTGTAATATTGGCCTAACAGCTTGCCTACAGGGTACCCAGCAACCCTATCAGGTAAGTAAAGAGGGTCACTTTTCTGTCAGGTGCAAGGAACCTCAAAATATTATGGGGAACCTCAAAAAAGAGAAGAAATCATGCAAATCTATAGGTATTACAGTAAGAATCTGACGACAAGTTCTTTGTCTGGCTTTCCTGCCCTCAAGAGACCTTAAAATTTCAATCAGATATTCCTTATAAAAAGTTCCAGCAAAGCAGATTTGAAAGAGACTATATGATCAGTTACTATTCTTGCTGTTCTTAGGTAAACAATTGGTCCAAGTTTTTAAAAACTAGACCTATTTTGCAACCAGAGAGTCTTAATCTTGCTGTCTTTGCTAAAAATGAGGGCGATTTTAGAGAGAATGATCATATTTCAATAAAAACTCTAATACACATTTGTGGATGTTAGATTTTGGTTCTGTTAATTGTCTTTGAGGTTTCTGTTTTCTATCTGTAACTGGACTGGATCACGAAGTCTTCTAGTTTCCTGAAATATCTGGCTACAAATCTCCAAACTAACACTTTCAATTTTTTCCATCATTTTCATTTGGACTCATTGAGAACTGAAAATACCATTTTTCCCAAAGCCCTGCAAACTGAGGCTAAATATCTTGATATAAACTTGGAAAAGTTTCATGCCTGTTGTTATTTAAGGCACTCAGAAATATACCTGACTGCCTGATGGCACCATCAGAGACATTTCAAACTGAAAAAATGCTTTGACCCTGACTTCTAGAAATCTTCTTGATTGGCTGACCCTGGGCTCAGGAACTGGTTTATATTTGCTCAATCACTAACCTTGTTTTTCCTGTTTGTTTATCTATAAATACTTCTTATTAAATACCTGGTTACTTACTTACACAATATAGGCCTAACTGTGGGAGCCCACCAACATCACCACCTTACTAAGAGACTGGTTCAATGATATTGATCAACCTATGCCCTTTATCAGCAGTTTTATTACAGAGAAACTGATATACAGAGCAAATCAAGAAGCTGAAGCTTCCCAGACCAAAACTCCTCAGCTTCCTGGTGCCAGAATCTACCATGCACCAGGGAGGCAGATGACGAAAGACTCCCACTTGCAGATTCCCTTATATCACCATTCTGGTCCCTGCAGGCAGCCTCACAAGGCCAAATGCAGGCTGGTAGGAAAGTGCCAACCAGCAAGGCCATAGGCTCACCCTCCCTACAAGCAACTTCATTCCTTGCAACCTTTAAAATCCCTTGCCTCCCATCTTTCAAAGAGAGGAGATGAATTTGAGGGCTGACTCTTACCTCCCAGCTGACATCATCTGAAATAAAAACCCCTTCTTTGCCATAAGCCTAGCAGTCCAGTTTTCATTTGGCCCCTCTTGTGTGGTGGGTAAAGAACCTGTGTCTGTGTCCAGTAACAATATCATCCTCAGCAACAAAAATTGATTCTTGGGAGGCAAAAAGAGTCTTACTATTTTTACATATAAAATATAAGTATACATACAGTATGTAAGCAGATATACAGTATATCTGTGGCCTTACTGTTTCATGGATGAGGGTGGTGGCTAGGAAAGAAAGTCAAAAAAGTTCCCTTCATGGAGTGATAATAAAAAAAATGTTGAGACATCACTGACATCTTAATGACATCATCTCTCTTAGGACTACAATTCATTCATTGCCTTATTGCTCATTTCTCCACTCACATACTCATTCAGGAAATGTTGAGAAACACTGGCCCAGACTTTTGCACAGTCCCTCAAAAATATTTGTTAAATGCCTACTTCCAAAAAAGAATTGTTAGAGACAAGGGGCATATAATGGTGGATAAGACAAATATGGGCCATTAGTATAAGTCAAGGAGAAGACACAAAAACAGCAAGAAACTAGGGGAAATAATTACAGATTATGCTAAACACTGTGAGAAAAGCACCAAGAGGCCTGAAACAGAAAATAAACAGACGAGATCTCTTTGATTGCAAGGCCATGGAAGGTCTTGCTGAGAAGGACCCCGGATTTGAAAACAGAGGTCCTGTAGTGTAAGCCCTGACAGTTGGCTTTTGCTTTTTGTAAAGCAAGTGCCTCCCTTAAGCTTTGATTGCTAAGGCCTACACCTCAAAGATGGCTGTCTTGAATAAAGATATTGCCAGCCACTGGACAAAGAGCCAGGCCACCTCCCCTGCCACATCCCCCAGATTCCTTTGTTTTAGAGATTTTGGTTGATTTTTGATAACTGACCATTTGGAGGACTTATTTTTTCTCTTCCTATGCTTTAAATTCTCACTCTTATGTTTTAAATTCACCAAAGAAGAGTGAGCGCAGGCCATCCTTGGCCCCATCCTCAACCTCAATAAAAGCAGAACGCCAGGCCTGCAACCTCACTCTGTGGCCCCACACATACTGTGTGCTTTCCAGGACATATAAGTGAAAAATATGTTTTTTTTTAAAAAAGTTTCCTTATGGTGTATGTGAAGGGCATCTCACAATCAAGGTAAGAACCACGAGGGCTGGTCTAACCAAAACACTGGTAATTCATAGGCTGAGACAAGCACAAGACATGTTCCTATTTGTATGTCTATTCATTTCCTAATTGCACAGATCTGAGTGACACTTAGGGGCAGCTCCTTTTGTTAATTTGCAATTTTCTATTACTTTCCTCTTTAGCAGCTTCATGCCAGCTTATGCAAATGTCAAATAGGCTGTTGCATCTGCTTTGACAGTTTGATTTTGTATGATTCACATCACAAAATACACACACACACCAGATGTGTCTATATTAGGAACCTCATGGGGAACCGAACGCTATGTGAATTCATGGTAATAAAGGGGCTTTCCATTTGAAAAATGAAGAAAATTGTTATTTGAATATTAGCAAATCCTCAATTCAGCATTTTCAGACAACCCAGGCACAGCTTTTGACATTTCTCCTGAGAGACTTGAACTATTGGAAGATGATCACCAATATCTAAAAATACACAGCTGCCAGGGTTGAAATACAAACAGAATTTAGGAAATAGCCATGTTAATATTTTTAGAACCCATGGCAAGACATGATTCTTCACTTCCCCTTTTATAATTATTGCAGAACTCATGTGAATGCCACCCTCCTGTCCTCCTGCGTGGATGGAAGATACGCTGGATTTTCATGAGACAGACTTTCCCTGCCCTCAGCAAGGGCCAGGTCCCCATGCTTCTGTGGCTGCTGCTGCTCATCCTGGGTGAGTAGATGATTGGACTGGGACAGGGGCCTCAGTTTCTAATGTCAGCCAGGGGAAAAACCAAGGATCTTCTGTCTCCACTTCCACTTAGAGTTCAGAGACAGACAGCAGAAGAATGAAAATGAGCAGAGCTGGGTTCCCAGTGTCGACTAAAATAATCCATAACCAGTCTATAAATCAAAATTGGGCTGAGTTTATTATGAGCCAGACCAGAGGCTGATATAGCCTGGGAGAGTCTTTTTATGAAGGAGTGGAGCACTCCAAAGAAGTGGGAGTTGACAGAGTGGTTATATACCATCAAAGAGCATGTATCACATATGATTGGAATATTCCTTTACAATAATTATGCTATTGCTTTGCTGGCACAGCAATTCACACAGCAATTGATGAACACAGTAGGTAGCAGGTCTGTGGTCTTGAGCTGGGTGGTCATAAGATGAACGCAGCCGGCCAGCAATCAATTCCTATTATAGGAAGAGATGCTTATCCTTTAGGCAATGTCAATGTGGGGGAAGTTACATCTCTATCTTAAAGGGCATTGTTCTTATCTTTGGACATAGTAAATACTTAAAATAGATATACAATGCACGTTCAATGGCCACATCAGCCCTTTTTGGAAAAACAAGATCAGAACGAATTAGTTTTACACCAAATGGCTTCCTCATATACTCCAATGTATCTTATTGCTTGCTATGTATTTATCACCAGGAAAAACAAAGGCTCTGAATACAAGTAGCAGAGCAAGTCAGGAATGTCACCCTGGGTTTTTCACCCATTTCTTCTTCATCTCATAGGAAACTTGGATTTTTCTTTCTGCCAAACCATAGCTCTAAGTCCCTCAGATAAAAATTTCTTCCAAACTCAGGCACGTAAAGGAAGACCTGTTGAGAAACCTGAACCCTCCCTGAGATTTTAAGCCAATATTTCACCAGAGATTGAAAAATGAGGAAAAACATCCAAAGAATGAGGGGGAGGATAAACCAGTCTTGAAGCCCTTTTCTGCCTCTGCACTGCTAGTTCAGGCTAGAAAAGAGAGGGAGAGAATGAAGTATGCAACAGCAAAGAGATGAGCCAGGGTTGTGGATACATTCATTCATGTTTATAACATAAATTATGATATTTTTATTTGTCTGTTTGTAGGCTATGGGTGGTATAGAATTGGGGGAGAAAACTGGAAGGAAAAACTGAAGTGATTGTGGCTGGGTTGTTGGAAAATTTCTCAAAGAGCATGTAACTGAAATTGTTTGAAAAACATTGCTCTGTGCTAATCTTTAAACCTTGGCACCCTCACAGCTCCTGGAAGAGAACAATCAGGTCAGTTTTCCCTTCTCTTTATTCCTCCTGGTCTCTGGGCATTGGTCCTCTTTGCCAGCATAGCCTGTCTCCACAAATGAGAGCTGCAGGGATGGGCTAACATCAGTGGTGTTTCTACTAGGGGTCATGCCTGATGATATGGTGAGTAAGCAGACTCTCCTTTGATTTCCCAATCTTCAGTTCTTTCCCCTTTATCAGGATACCTCAGTGTAGAGAGGAAGGAAGCTTCCATAGAGGGAAGGGCAGAGGCAGGAGGCTGATGTTGAGAGAACCTCAGATCTGAGCTCCGCTATGCCCTCAGCCCCCTCCCTCTGTATGGCCAAGCTAGGACCACTGTCAAAGGACCTAGAAGTAGCTCCCATCCACAGAGAAAATACTACAGCCAAATCTGTATACATCTCCAAAAGGAGCACATGTCACTCTCTTGCTTCCACTTCTGGTCACATTGGTGAGTTGCAATTCAATACAGAAATATGATTTGCATGTATGGTTTCTCAAGCATCCTCCTGCCCTTCATTCAAATTCGTTGTATTCTTCAGTTATTGATTGTGTCCAACTTAGATGGAAAGTAGAAAAAAGTTGCCTTCCCTATAGATCTCACTATAAATTTATCAAGATTTGAAAGTAATGAAAATAATTTTTTTTAAAACTCCAGCTTGTTCATTAAACATTAGCAACCAAGAAGGAAGTGGTTTTTCAAACTCTGGAAGCTGCCTCTGAGGTATACGTATCCCAGGCTCACCTTTACCTTGACAAGAATATACAAGTCAATCTCATTTCAGAATCAGCCCACCTTTGGAGGCCCTCACAGTGTTTGCCCAACTATAAGTCACACCTCCTGAGCTTTTCTGAGCCCATACCAGGGACCTGAGAGCTATCCCCTATGACACCCACCTGCCCACATTCAGGCCAGGAAAAGAAAGAAGGAGAACAGATTCTGTCCTAGGCATTTCCCCAGATTGTTTCTGTTCCATTTCTAACCCAGGTCCTAATAGGAATTAGCCCAAGAAAACTCCCAGCTGCAGGTCAGGCCCTCCCCTGTGCACTACCTACCTCTCAATCACCTTCACGTGCCTTCATCTTTCTGTTTCCTGTTCAGAATTAGCTCCAAAAGCTTTTATTCGCCTCACTCCTCCCTGGTCCACAAACTTCAAAGGAAAGACAGTAACTCTCACATGCGAGGATTCCCATTCTCCAGCCCAGGGAGGCATATCTTGGTATTATGATGACATTTTGTTGAAAAAAAAATCGGGAAAGCTCCAAATAAGAAATTCTGGATATTACAAATGCAAGACCCCAGGATCTTCCCTCAGTGACCCTGTGCATGTGGAATTTTTATCTGGTAAGAAAAGAAAGGAAGAGTTTCTGAAAGCCACTGGGCAGTATGTCGGAGGGCTGGGTTAACATAGAGAGCCCATAAGGCATGAGAACACTGGAAGTACTGACCCCAGAAAATAATTAGATAGGCCAGCAGCAGGATGCTGCCTTTCCATCTTCTCCATCCAGAGAAGTGTCAGTAGCCCAGAAGTTGCCAGGGAAAAAGGGACCCAGGTCTGAAGAAAGGTACAGAATAAAACTCCTATTTTAACAATATGTATGAGAACTTCTTAAGGACGTATCCTGGGATTAGTTCACTAATCTAGGACAAGGGAGACTTGGGCATTGGGACCACATGGAAATATTGATGGAGGACATTTGCAAGTGTGCACAGAAGTGTAGCTCTTTCCTCATGGGCAGTAATGAGAGCTCAAAGAAAGAAGCAGCAAGGATAAATTGATTGTGTTCCTCCATTCTTTGCAGATTGGCTGATCCTCCAGGCTTCTCTCCCTGTTTTTGAAGGAGATGATGTATATCTGAGATGCCAGGGGTGGAAAGAAGAGGATATTACTAAAAAAATTTATTACAAAGATGGAGAAAAATTTGCTGTTACTTATGACTCAGGCTTCATCAGACTAAATTCAGCCTCTACCAACAATAGCAAATATCATTGTACTACTTATGTGGAAGGACTTTTTGGAATGTGGAAAGAAAGTTCAAAAGCTCTAAGGATCCAAGTTCAAGGTAATGGCTGCACTCCTGTGGGTAACAGGGCTTGGCAAGGAAAAAGTGCATGGGGATGGAGGGAGGGTGCTCATCAGTGGGGATTTCATGAAAAGCCTCTCTTGGCCCAGCCATGGGAGGACAATGAGAAGTGGTTCCATCTGCATGGGTTCCTATCTCCTGACAGCTGGTGCTGACAACACAAGTGCATTGCCATAGGCACTGTGAGCCTCACTGCTCTGGAAATTGTATTTGTTCTTCTCTCTAGAGTTGTTTCCACCTCCTGTGCTGACAGCCAGCCCCTCCCAGCCCATAGAGGGGAGCCCAGTGACCCTGAAATGTGAGACCTGGCTCCCTCCACAGAAGTCAGACACTCAGCTTCAATTCTGTTTCTTCAGTGGAGACCAGGCCCTGGGATCAGACTGGAGAAGCTCCTCAGAACTCCAGATCCCTGCCATATGGAGTGAGGACTCAAGGTCTTACTGGTGCCAGGCAAAGACAGTGACTCACAGTGTCATGAAGAGAAGCTTGAAATCCCAGATACATGTACACAGTGAGTGTCTGTGGCTCTTTCAGAGTCAGAGATGGGGGAGAGGAGAACAGAACAATGATATGTTCTGCTCCCTGGGATGGTGAACATAATAGAGAGGTGCTTCCAGCTATCTTGGTATCCTTCTCTCTTTAGGTCCAACATTAGACTAATCTCCCTAGAATATTCTCTTCTATCTAAGTCAGGTAATAGTAATTATTGATCACTTACTGGGTACCTAACCTCCTGGGGGCTATAAAGACACACAAGATCTGTTCTCTCATGAGTCAACAGATAACTAGAAGCACAGAAGACCACATGCTGTCTTTAGAGGTCCCTCAGGTGCTTCCATGTGCTGACCTAGACTGGCTCCAAAATAATCAGAAAACTGGAAGATAAACACAAACTGGAATAGTCAGAAAAGAATGTGAGAAGATAGAGGTGATACTGGAGAAGAGTCTTAAAGAGTCTCCTAAAGATAGGAGAGGGGTTTGGATTGTGAGTAAAGTCACTTCAGGAGAGAAGCAATTCTTGGCGTTCTCTCTTATTTTGTGATCCATTAGTGTATTTAATTCCTCAGAGATAAACATCAATAAAATGTGACTGCAGTCAACATTAGGTTCAAGATTAAGGGCTTGGTACCCACATTACTTAAGAATGGGAATTGTTGAGTGGGAGAGGAAGGGTGTTGCTCCCTTTATAATAATATATACACTTCTTCCTATTTCCTATTTTGGATCCCTGTCTATTGCACCTGCTGCTATTGGCTTAATCACGGCAGCACAAACCTTCTCCTTGATCTTGAAGTCCCTGCCATCAAGACCCTCATGTGTCATCTTTTGTCCTCCCAGGAGTCCCTGTGTCTGATGTGAATCTAGAAATCCAGCCCCCTGGAGGGAAGCTGATTGAAGGAGACAATCTGGTCCTTACCTGCTCAGTAGCCAGGGGGACAGGGACTATCACGTTCTCCTGGCACAGAGAAGGCACAATAAGAATTTTGGGAAGAAAGACCCAGCGTTCCCTGTCAGCAGAGTTCCAGATACCCACTGTGAAGGAGAGTGATGCTGGGAGATACTACTGTGCAGCTGACAACATTCATGGCCCCATCCTCAGTACACTGATTACCGTCACAGTGAGAAGTAAGTTCCTATTCCTTTTACTCAGCCTTGGTTTGCAAGCCAGGGTATAGGTTCTGTCAGCAGTAAGGATCTTCTAAAGATAGCAAAGGTATAGAGGTGTGATGATTTAAAAGCTAACCAAGGAATGGCAAAGAGGGCAAAATAAGTTGAAGACACCTTACTTTCTGTGGAGAGGACTTAGTAGTGATGAAGACAAAATTTTCCAGGATTGCTCCTCATGACACAAGGGATATATCTATTTTTAGCCTCCTCGAATGGAGTTCTGAACCTGTCACAGCTTCAGAGTCCTTCTCTGACAGCTCTTTTTTCTCTCTCAGTTCCAGTGTCTCGCCCTGTCCTCACCATCAGGGCTCCCAGGGCCCAGGCTGTGGTAGGGGATGTGGTGGAGCTTCGTTGTGAGGCCTGGAGAGGCTCTCCTCCAATATTGTACCAGTTTTATCATGAAGATGCCACCCTGGGAAGCAGCTCAGCCCCCTCTGGAAGAGCAGCATCCTTCGACCTCTCTCTGACTGCAGACCATTCTGGAAACTACTCCTGTGAGGCTGACAATGGCCTGGGAGCCCAGCATAGTGACAGAGTGACACTCAACGTCACAGGTAAGTAGGATATGTCCATAGCAGTTGCAGCCAAGAACAGATAATGTCTTCTCACAAACAGAGACCCTTTGGGCTATTTACTGGTGTGATGTCCCAGAAGACTCCCCACGTTTTCTGCCTCCACCTGAAGGTTCTGGGATTCTTCCCTCTGGCTATACATTCAGTAACTTAGGCAATTCCTTTATTTCCTCTGTCATGAAAGCCATATATTCCACATAGTCTTCTAGTAGAGGCAAAAAGACTTTCCAAAATACCAGATATATGATGGTTTAGCAATTTCTGATGAAGGAACGTCATATAGAAAGCTTTATATCTAAATTCCTTTGTCCACGAACAAATGACCCAACTGACCCTTGCCAAGGTTTTCTTCCTCTGCTCCCCTCCAATCTAAATTCCTACTTGGCTCTCTGGATTACTAGACAAAGTGTCTCTCCTTGTGGACACCCACAGCTATCAGAGCAGCAGAGCTTTCTCTTGGCCTTCACACTGATGACCTGTCTGGCCTTCTCACTTTCGCCACATGCCTTCTGACTCTTCAAATGTTAGGATATCATTGAATATGATGTTCTCGGTATCTCCAAACAAAATTTTTCTTCACCAGAGCTATCAAGGCATCTTTATTTCCCACTTCCAGCATATGTTGGCAATTAGTGATGTGCCCATCTATTTAGGAGAGACCCCTAGTCCATGCCATGATCATTCCAAAGTACCCAGCATTTGGAAGGTGAGGAGAAGCACTGAGACTTAGGAGGAGGTGGCAGGATTAAGAGATGTGGCGGTGACTCCCAGTGCCTCAAACCCTTACATTCTCTGGATTTTGCCATGGCTTCTTGTTCTCCAACTATTCCAAACTATTGGAATACTTATGGTATCTAGGTTAATAATGACTCTTCCTATGGTCCAAGCTTGGGTTACGATTTGAGGAGGTTCCAGAGCCTGGGAGAGCCAGATAGTGTGCTGACACTGGGATTCCAGTCTTGAACAAGAAAGTATCTATTTATGTGACCGTGAACAAGTCTCCTTACTAGTCTGTCCTCAGTTTCCTCACTTATGAAGTAATTGATTCAAGTAAATCATGGAGGCACAAACATTCCTGTTCCCACACCACTTTCAGTCAAACATGTTGAACATGTTTCCTAAATACTTTTTATTAGTTACATCCATGTTCTACTGTACTAACTTAATATACACACTATTAAACACAGAAATATAAATTAAATAAGGATGAAATAAACAATATTTTAAAATATTCTTAGAATCTTTGATTAAAATAGTAACTGAATATGATTTTTTTTATTTTGAAAGTCTTGTGTGACTCTTTGTGGTACAGTTATTTGATGCCTGGCTGTGAGTTTGGGTTATTCCAATTGGTTTCAGTGTCTTCTTTTACGTAAAAGGTGTCTGGCCACGATATCCAGATACAAGTGGAAACAAAGCGTCTATGATACCCATTTTTCAGTCCAATGCACTAATTATGCCTAGATTTTCACTGAAATTTGCCTAATGCATTTCCATTTTTATTGGTGTCAGTGAGTTATTCTTGTAAAATAAGTAGAAAGTGTTGCATATTTAAATTTATTACAGATGAGTTCAAGCTTTGAAAGAAGTATAGACTGGTTGCAATATGCTGTTTCCATACATTTTTAAATGTGTAGATATGATTATTTGAAGTTGACATATTGACATTTGCTGATAATAAAACAACATAGAAGTGTAATTACTTTGGAACAGCTATTTTACAAAATATTACCTCTATCACATTAGTTTATTTAGAAATCTTTAGTAATACAAGAACTGTTAAATGTCTTTTTTTAGTGTCAGACTAAATATTAAACTATTGAGTCACTGATCAACAAAGAAAATAAATAAGTAAAAACACCAAAAATAAAATAATGATCATTCTTCAGAGAAAAATACATGGGTAATATTTATATTTACCTCCTCTTTTTAGAACTTTGCCGCCAAATAATTGAAAAACTCCCAGGTGGTACAAAAAGATGTTGTAGTTATTACCCATTATCATTACAAAGCATTTTAAAGACTCTAAGTAAAATAATCTGTAAAAATACTCCAGTAGACAGCTCAATGGGTAATATGTTCCCATATGCTGACAACGAACAAACAATTGAAGGCCCTGCTGTCAACTCCTCCAAGCAATAGGGACCCCTCTGCCTTCACAAGAATTCCCTTCCCGATCTCAGCACAGGCTGTGACACGTGGCCTGAGTAAGAGTGCCAATGTGACTATTGGCAAAGCTGGATTTATTGCTTACTTTCAAGTTACAATACTCAAACATTCTCATATTTTCTTCTCACACCCCACTGGGTTGTCTTGCACCCCATCGTGGAGACCACTGAACTTGGTGATAACCATGGTCTCTTTCAGCACTAAAATTCTCCGACTTTATTGGGATGTGCATGTAGAACCAGAAGTTTGGTGAACCCTGGAGGGAGAAATGTAATGGAAGAAGCTGAGAATCACTGCTCCAGGCTTACAGAAGCCTAGAGAAAGAGGAGGCTGAGAGGATTCTGGGAAGATGGCAGAGTAGGAAGCACCAGGAATCTGCCTTCTTACCTAGAATTGCACTAGCAAGATCTGTCTGAGGCAATTATTTTGGGATTCTAGAGTTTACTGGAAGCTTGCAACTCACAGAGGAAGGCTTGGTCAGCAAACTCCAGTTAATTTTCATCAATTTCAGCTCTTAGCACAGTAGCAGCTACCCGACTCCCACCCTCAGCCCTGTGGCAGACAGCTGTGTATGTGTTCCTGGAGTAGCTTGCACACAGCTTGTGAGGAGCTGGAGTGGGCAAAAAGGACCCTGTCCTCCAAATATTAGGGAATCTGTGCTCTGAGCCCAATTGCTGCTTCTGATCACAGAGGTATAGAGATGCAGGCAGCTACGGCTAGTTTTTGTACCTCTTTCCTCTGTTGCAAACCCCTAATCCTCCAACTGAAGTGACTTCCAAAGAGTCTAAAGGGCTGGTGCTCTTTTTCTACCCTCTTTTTTTTTAATTTTTCCTCTTTTGAAGCCAGAGAGATAAAAGAAAATACGAGGCCATGACATGGGTGAAAAAGCACACTGGGATGCACAAAGTACATATAAAGACTTACCCCTGAGGCCCATAACATTTGACCAAGGTCACTTTATATGGCAAAGGATGTACAGAAGGGCCAAACTCAAGCCATCTGTTTAGATTTAGCAGGAAGCCTACACTTCCAAAAGCTGAACTTGGCATTTCCACACTGATGAGGTGGCTGGTGCCATCCGTTTTGCAGCCAGCAGATGGCGCATTTTCAAATTGACTGATTCCCATTCAAAGAATGATTCCCTTACCTCCCTTTGAGTCAACCTCTGACACAAAGCAGAGCTTAAGATCCTTACCAACCTTCTCTTGCCAACGACACACACAGCTGATATCTAAAGCACTGCACACAGATTGGCTTATCCAGGTTTCCTCACAACTTAGCAGAACCAACAATCTTACAGTTCACATTCCACAATATTTATTAATAATTCCCTATGTTAATAAAAAACATAATGATTTTATTCTCCCTGGCTGTCCTATTCCTATAATCATCAATAAAAATGGAAATCATTGTTGATATTGCTGTATCTGGATATTTTTATGCCAATCTGGATCAATTTGGTCATCTGTACAATCACCAATTGTTGAGGAGCTATTGCAGGCCAGGCAAATTCCAGCAGCTGGAAATACAACAATGAACAGACAAGTTCACATCTTTATGAAATTTACATTCTATTGGGAGAATCAGATATACAGCAATGATAGATAGATGAAAGAGAGAGAGAGATAGATACATAGATAGATGTTAGTGCTAAATGCCATGAAGAGAAATAAAGTAAGCTAATTAGATAGAGAGTAATTAAGATCTTACTTTAGATAGATGTGGAAGTATAGGTTTAAAGCTAACACTCAGGAGTCAGCAATATTCAGAAATGAACCTTGATTTTAGTTATTATTTCTATCAATGGTAATAGCTAACATTTATTGAGCACTTTACATACATAATCGTTTTCACTAATAGCTTGAGATATAATCAATATTAGCTCAATTTTACAAAGGAGTAAACTGAGACTTGGAGAGATTAAAGAGATTGTTTTTCCCAGTAATTTTATTGAGATCATAATAGTTTATAACATTGTGTAATTTCAGGTATATATTTTTATTTATCAATTTCTGAATAGACTTCATTGTGCTCACCCCAGTAGTTTAATTTTTGTCAATCACCATACGTATGTTCCCCTTTATCCCTTTTTCCCATCCCCCAAACCCCTTCTCCTCTGGTAACCACTAATCTGTTCTCTTTATCCATGTATTTTTTATCTTCCACATGTGAGTGAAATCATGCAGCACTTGTTTTTCTCTGTCAGGCTTATTTTGCTTAACATCATACCCTCAAGTTCCATCCATGTTGTTGCAAATGGGACAATTTTGTCTTTATTTATGGTCAAGTAGCATTCCATTGCTTATATATACCATATCTTCTTTATCCATTCAGCTGTAGAAGGGCTCTTGGGTTGCTTCCACATCTTGGCTGTTGTAAATAATGCTGTAATGAACATAGGGGTGCATAAATTTATTTGGATCACTGATTTCAAGTTCTTTGGATTAATACCCAGTAGTGGGATAGGTGGATGGTGTGGTATTTCTATTTTTAATTTTTTGAGAAATGTCCACACTGTTTTCTATGGTGGCTGTACCACTTTGCATTTCCACCGGGGGATACGAGGGTTCCCTTTTCTCCACATCCTCTCCAACATTTGTTACTTTTTGTCTTGGTAATTATAGCCATTCTGACCAGTGTAAGGTGATATCTCATTGTAGTTTTGATTAGCATTTCCCTAATAATTAGTGATCCTGAACATCGTTTCAGGTGTCTGTTGGCTATCTGTGCATCTTCTTTGGAAAAATGTCGGTTCATATCCTCTGCCCATTTTTTTTTTTTTTTTAAAGATTTTATTTTTTCCTTTTTCTCCCCAAAGCCCCCCGGTACATAGTTGTATATTCTTTGTTGTGGGTCCTTCTAGTTGTGGCATGTGGGACGCTGCCTCAGCGTGGTTTGACGAGCAGTGTCATGTCCGCGCCCAGGATTCGAACCAACGAAACAATGCGCCGCCTGCAGCCCAGCGCGCGAACTTAACCGCTCGGCCACGGGGCCAGCCCTTCCTCTGCCCATTTTTTGATCAGGTTGTCTGCTTTTTCGTTGTTAAGTTGTATGAGTTCTTTATATATTTTGGAGGTCAATCTCTTGCTAGATAAGTGATTTGCAAATATTTCTCCCAGTTGGTGGATTGTCTTTTTGTTTTGTTCATGGTTTCCTTTGCCTTGCAGAAACTCTTTAGTCTTACGTAGTCCCATTTAATTTTTTCCATTGTTTACCTTGCCTGAGTAGACATGGTATTTGAAAAGATGCTGCTAAAACCAATGTCAAATAGTATACTGCCTTTATTTACTTCTAGGAGTATTATGGTTTGATATCTTACATTCAAGTCTTTAATCCATTTTGAGTTGATTTTTGTGTATGGTGCAAGATAATGTTCCACTTTTATTCTTTTTCATGTGGCTGTCCAGTTTTCCCAACACCGTTTATTGAAGAGACTTTCTTCCCTCCACTGTATGTTCTTGGCTTCTTCGTCTAAGATAAACTGTCCATAGATTTCTGGTTTTATTTCTGGGCTTTCAATTCTGTTCCATTGATCCGTGTGTCTGTTGTTGTGTCAGTACCTTGCTGTTTTGACTACTATAGCTTTGTAGTATATTTTGAAGTCAGGGATTGTGATGCCTCCAGTTTTATTCTTTCTTTTCTAGATTGCTTTGGCTATTGAGGGTCTTTTGTTTTTCCATATAAATTTTAGGATTCTTTGTTCTATATCTGTGAAGAATGTCATTGGGATTCCGATTGGGATTGCATTGAATCTGTAGATTCCTTTAGGTAGTATGGACATTTTAACTATATTTATTCTTACAACCCATGAGCATAGAAGCTCTTTCCATTTCTTTATGTCTCTCTCAATTTCTTTCAATAATGTCTTGTAGTTTTCAGTGTACACGTCTTTCATCTCTTTGGTTAAGTCTATTCCTAGATATTTTATTCTTTTTGTTGTGATTGTAAATGGAATTGTATTCTTCATTTCTCTTTCTGCTAGTTCATTATCAGTGTATAGAAATGCAACAGATTTTTTAAAAGTTATTTTGTACCCTGCAACATTGCTGTAGTTGTTGACTATTTCTAATAGTCCTCCAATGGATTCTTTAGGGTTTTCTATATATAGAATCATGTCATCTGGAAACAGAGTTTGATTTCTTCCTTTCTGTATTCCTTTTATTTCTCTTTCCTGCCTAATTTCTCTGGTCAAAACCTCCAGTACTATGTTGAATAGGAGTGGCAAAAGTGGGCACACTTGTCTTGTTCCCATTATCAGAGGGATGGCTTTCAGTTTTTCACCATTAATTATGAGGTTGGCTGTGGGTTTGTCATATATGGCCTTTATTATGTTGAGGTACTTTCCTTCTATACACATTTTAATCAGAGTTTTTATCATAAGTGGATGTTGGATCTTGTCAACTACTTTCTCTGCATCTATTGAGATGATTATGTGATTCTTATTCCTCATTTTTTTAATGTGGTGTATCACATTGGTTGATATGTGGATGTTGAACCATTCTTACCTCCCTGGAATAAATCCCACTTGATCATCGTGCATGATCCTTTTAATGCATTGCTATGTTTGGTTTGCTGATATTTTGTTGAGGATTTTTGCATCTAAGTTCATCAGCTATATTGGCCTGTAATTTTCTGAGATTAAAAAGTTTTTGTTTTTTTTTAGGAAGATTAGCCTTGAGCTAACGTCTACTGCCAGTCTTCCTCTTCTCTTTTTTTTCTCCCTAAAAACCCCCAGGACGTAGTTGTATATCCTAGCTGTAGGTTCTTCTAGTTACTCTATGTGGGACACCACCTATGCATGTCTCGATAAGTGGTGCTAGGTCTGCACCCAGGATCTGAACCGGTGAACCACAGGCCACTGAAGCGGAGGGTGGGAAATTCACCACTCGGCCACGGGGCTGGTCCCTGAGATTAAAAAGTTTTAAAACATGAAGGTTATAGGGCTAATAAAAAGCAGAGACAGGATTCAAACTCAGGTTTTCCTGAATCCTGGGTCCATGTTCCTACTAATAAACATGCTGGATATTTCCTTTATTAAGTTATCCTGTATACATACTGAACTAAAACTTCCGGTGAACTATGTTTCCTCCCTCAGTTCCAGTGTCTCGTCCTGTCCTCACTCTCAACCCTGCCGGCACCCAGCCTGTGGTGGGAGATGTGTTGGAGCTTCGCTGTGAGGCCCAAAGAGGCTCTCCCCCAATCCTGTACTGGTTTTATCATGACAATGTCACCCTGGGGAAAAGCTTGGCCCCCTTTGGAGGAGGAGCATCCTTCAACCTCTCTCTGATGGCACAGCCTTCTGGGAACTACTCCTGTGGGGCTGACAATGGCCTGGGGATCCAATGCAGCGAGGTGGTGATGCTCAACTTCACAGGTGGGTTGGTGGTACCTGGGCTATAGGTTATAGTTATGTTGATAAAATATTTCTCCAACAGATTGTACAAATTCTACCAATGTCAAAGAGTTCTTGAAAATGACACCAAGGCTTGGGGCTTCTGGAGATCGGTACTGATTTCATGGAGGAGAAGAAAAGGAAATAAATTTTAATCTTAGATGCTGCCAATCACCCTCCATGTGCCATTATTTTGAAATTTACAAATTATGTCAGAGATAATTCAAATGGAGAAATCAGAACCAGGCAGAAATCTGTCCTGATAGATATCTAACCCTCACCCACATGGTCTTTGCCTAGATCAGAAATATTTTCTACTGGAACTCAAGTATGGGTCTCTCCACTTAGTGCCTTCCAGGAGCAAAATAACCCCTGTCACTGTGGGAGTCATCTTGGGGCTGCTAAGTATCCTTGGCCTTGCTGCTACTGCTGCTCTGGTGTGCAAGTTCAGGACCCAGAAGAAATCAGGTGGGTAGATACCCTTGGATGTTGTGACTTATGCCCTTGCCATAATACTTTGGACTTGTGTGGTGCATCTGATAAAGGTCAATTTTTCCCTCCAAGTAATAGACTCTCAGTTCTACTTACTGCCATTCTGTAGGCAACTGTGACAAAAAGGTAGAATATATTTCTTAATGAAGTTGTTACTTCACATGTTTGAGATTCGAATCAGGTGTCAGAGTTTTGCTTCAAATTAAAATTAGAAAGTTAAATATTTATTGTTGCACCTCCAGTCCAAAGCTTACTAAAAACAAAAAGAATGAAAAATAAAGTCCTCTGTTTGTAACAACAGCAAAAAGACAATAGCCATAGGTGTAAACCATAAATTATGAGATGTATTAGAATACCTGTCAAATGCAGTGAAATTTGGATAAAATTAACAAAGAATGCTTAGAATTAAAATTTTAATTTCTGATTGTTTGTTTCTAGTATACAGAAATAAAATTGATTATTGCATATTGGTCTTCTATCCTGCAACCTTGCTAAACACACTTGTTAGTTCTAGTATCTGTTTTGTAGATTTTGTCAGATTTTCTCTATAGGTGCTCATGCCATCTGTGAATAAAGAGTTTTACTCCTTCTTTTCCAAACTGGATTCTTTTTATTTCTTTTTCTTGCCTGAATGCACTGGCTAGAACCTCCTATACAATGTTGAATAGAAGTTGTAAGAGCACACATCTTTGTCTTGTTCCTGATCTAAGGGGGAAAGTATTTTCTCTCTCATCATTAAGTATGATATTAGCTCTGGATTTTCTTGTAGATGCTCCTTATTAGGCTCAAGAAGTCCCCACTATTTGTTATTTGCTGAGAGTTTTTATAGGAAAAAATACTTGTCAAATCTTTTTTCTACATAATTGAGATTATGTGAAAACAATTGAGATGATCATATGATTTTCTTTTCTAGTCTGTTGCTATGGACTTTTAGTTTTGAATGTTGAACCCACCTTGCATTTCTGGGGCCAACCTCCCTTGGTCATGATTGTTGGCTTTGATTTGCTAAAATTTTGTTAAGAATGTTTGCGTCTATGTTCATCTGTCTATATCTGTTGGTAGCTTCTTTTTCTTGACATGCCTTTCTCTGAATTGATGTCAAGGCAACACCCACTTACTTACTGCTTCTTGCATTCTTCATTTCTTTGTATATGTTTGTATTTCCACCTGCTATCATTTTCTTTCTTCCTGAAGGCCTTCTTTTACCATTTCTTATAGTAGGGGGTCTGTTGGTGAACTGGGTTGATAGTGTTGTTGAAGTCTTGTGTGTCCTAACTGATTTTCTGTCTACTTGATCTATCAATTCTTGAGAGAGTAGTATTGAAATCTTCAAGTATAATTGTACATTTGTTCATTTCTTCTTGCAATTATATCAGGTTTTGCTTCATATAATTTGAAACTCTATTATTACATGAGTAAATGTTTATAATTGTTATGTGTTTTTGATGAAATTGTCACTTTATCCTTATGTAAGAACATTTTTATCTCTGGTAGTATCATTTATTCTGAAATATTCTTTGATATTACTGTATTAATGTAATTAGTGTTATCATCATATTTCTTTATTCATCTTTTTACTTTAACCTATTTGAGCCCCTATATTTAGTGCCTCTTTTTATGGAGAGCATATAGTTAATTCTTGATTTTTTATCCAAGATGACAGTCTCTACCTTTTAACTAAGGCATTTAGACCATTTACTAACGTGATTTTTGACAGGCTTAGATTTAAGCCTATTATTTTGCTATTTGTTTTTTATTTGTCCCAGCTGTTCTTTGTTTTCCTATTTTTCCTACCCTTTTTGGATCAACTGAATATTTTTTATGATTCCATTTTATTTAGTTTGTTGGCTTTTTAGCCATATAACTCTTCGTTTGGTTGTTTTAGTGATTGTTTTAGGGTTTATAGTATACATACCTAACATCACAGTCTATTTTCAAGTGATATGATATCACTTCTCATATAGCATAGGAATATTACTATAGTGGCCTCTACTTCTCCTCTCCAAGCTACATAGTTATTATTTTTCCAAACAGTTATCTTTTAAAGAGATTTAAACATAATTTAAAAATCTTTTATATTTACTCAAATGGTTATCACTTCCAATGTCCTTCACTCCTTTTTGTATAGCCACACTTTCATTAGGTATGATTTCCTTTCCGCCCAAAAGATTTCTTTTAACATTTCTTGTAGTATGGGTCTGCAGTTGATGAATTATTTCAGCTTTTATAAGCCTGTAAAAGTCTTTATTTTGCATTCATTTGTGAAAGATATTTTTACTGACATAGAATTCTAGGTTGAAAATATTTTTTCTTTCAGTGTTTTAAAGATGTTGCTCTATTGTCTTCTTGTGTGCATTACTTCTGACGAGCAATCTACTATCATTCTTGTCTTTGTCCTTTTGTGACTTCTTCTTTTTCTCTCTGAATGTTTTTTCATGCATCAGGAATCTTTGAACGTGCAGACTGTTTTACTCAGTGCTTTGGGTGCTTGTATGGGTTCAAGACTTTATATTTTGGAATTACTAATCCTTTACTTTCTGTCTTTCTCTCTGTGTGATGTAACATGACATCTCCTTTTCCGTCAGGCTAAATGCTTCTTTCTGTTCTCCCATTCCCAGGGCTCATACTGAAAATTAAGAAAATAAACAAACAAATAAATAATACATCTGGATCTCAGTTTAATGAAAAAGCTTACATATCTTTCTTAATGATGCTCTTCAAGCATTGTCTTCTTACCCCTCTTTTCATGTCAATCAATGAGCTTCCCTCCTTCTGTTTCTTTTTATGAAAACTGGCACTGACATTTTGTGATTGATATTTTAAAACTTCTTAGTATTTTCTTAAATAGCATTACATGTTAAATTATGTGTGTATATGATTTTTAAAAAAATATGTGAAGAGAATAAAAGCACAAACCCCAATAGTACTCATCATAAAATCTATCATTTATTTAGAGTCTATTACATGCAACTTTATGATTTGTCTAATTCTCCCAATTGTTCAGTAAGTAGATTTCAGTGCAGTTCAACCATTATTATTATCACCATATTATAGATGAAAAAATAGAGGTTTGTGGAAGTTAAATAACTTTTCCAAATTCACATATCTAATAAGAATCAGAGTTAGGGCTTACCTTGAGTCTCCCTAACCCCTGACTCCATATTCTCTTCATTACATCTTGATGACTTGCAGAAGGCTGTTCTTACCTCCTACTTTCAAAATTACTTTTACATCTCTTTGCTTATCTGGAATGTCATTTATTAATCAGCAACATATTAGCAGTGCAGACATTAGAACATCAATGTTAAAGTTGATAATGTTCAAAAAACATATTGCTCAGGCAACACAACACCAGGGAAGGAAAGATTGCTAACCATCATTTTATGTGATCCATGAGGGCAGGAGCCCATGAAGTTCTATCCTCAGATCTAAGAGACGTGTCGTTTTAAATAGCAAACTCAGCTAAGTAATTCTGACAGTCCACCAATCAGATCCTCTCTGCCTTTCTCATCTCAAAATCTTGCCTACTGTACTTCCCTTATAGCAAAGTCTTTGTTCTCATTATTGCCCAGACTTTTCAGGGAGGAGCTCGGCTCTTCCATATTTTCCTAAAAGTGAAGAGTTTTGTTATTTAAGCCTGAGTGTATCATACAAGTTACCAAAGGGAGTGATAAATTTATTGACTCTATAATTAGCTGCATGGATTAAAATTCCAGTAATGTAACTTGCCAAATACTTGATATTTGACAAGTAAATTAAATTCTTCTGACCCCAGCTTCCTCAGCTATATAATGGTCATAATAATAGTATCTACCTTCTAGGTGCTATGAGCCAGTCTATGTAAACTGCTTAGCCCAGTGCCTGGATCATATATCTTCAGTGAATATTAGCTTGTATTATAAATAGCCACTTTCTGGGTCTGTTTTTTTCTTTTACAATTGAAGATATAGACTAAGTCTCAGATGCATCCTGGGACTTAGCTAACCTGCCCACAAAGGAGGTTGTTGAATTATGTAGATTGCAGTTGCTCTGGGGAGAGAGATACAGGCCAGGATCACGCTCACATACGTCTAGTTTAACTCAGGACACCTGGTTCCTGAAGACAGGATTTGCAGGCATCAATCAGTCAGTTTTCATGGGAGGTGAGGATGAGTATGTTTACTTTGGGCAATAATTTGTGTTCTCTAAGCCCGGTGAAAGAGATGTGGAGTCACAGATAAATAGGAGAATGACAGGGATGGGAAACTGGGAGGAGGTTTGTATTGAAGCAGGATAGAAAGATTTCAATATTTTAGTAATGATGGAAAACCTTCATATTTTCAAAGCTGATGGAGTAGTCTTCCTCTTTAGATTTACACGTAATCGCCTTTTGTGAAATTGTCAATTTGTCATTCTTTTAGTCCTCAAAATACATACTTTAATTTGCTCAGTTATTTAACAAATATATATTGAATATTTTCAACATTTTAGGCACTGGGAATACAAAATAACTAAGGCAAAGTTTGAAGCCTCAAGTTATACACCATTTCGTGAAGGAGAGAGTTAGACAAAACATAGAAATAGATAATTATAATGCAATAGTAGTTTTAATATTGCAGGGTTCTATCTGCATGGAGATAGGACACTTAATCCAGCCTGTTGGTATCAGGGAAAGCTCTTGAGGAGGAAAGGCAAGCTGGAATTAGCCAGGTGAAAGAGAAGGAAAGAAGAGGTATGGACAAAACAATATGCACCCAATGTTGGAATGGATTTGTAAGGGTCACAGATAAAGAGAGGTGCAAGCTTATTATGGTGGTCCTACTGATTCATGCTTGTTTAAGAATTCTGTGTCAATTTTATCCCCTCTTGAAGCCTCAGTCTCCTTGTCTCTCCTCATAGGGCTGCAGTCAGGATAGAGAAGTGGGAGTAAGGGAAGCATTTGACCCAGAAGGAAACATTTAGTTGCCTCTCTTCTGCTACTTGGTCAGAGCTATTTAGAGTTCATGCTGCTATTATTGATTGAATAGCGATTCAGAATAAGTGTGATTCTGTGCAGATGTTTTTCAAGACTCCACCTTCCTTATCTATAACCTGACACAGGGGGATGCTGGTGGGTGGAGCTGGATGTTCTCTAAGATTCTCCATGACTGAGATCTAGAATGAATCTGATTTCTAGGAAGGGACATTCTAACACAGAGTTCATTATTCACACAGCTCACTTACCATCAATGTTCTTTTGTTTGTTTTTCAGGAGGAATTTCTGCCACTGGGACAGCTAGGTGAGGTCTCTGCTTCTTGTGCTGCCAACTTTTTCATGATTTGTTTATACCTACAAGATAGGAACATGGAATATGTACATTAAAATTTTTTTGACTGGATGTCCTATTAACATTTTCAAATTCTTATCAAATCTCAAAATGTGATTAAGAAGGCACCTTTTGATCACATTTGTGAATAATACTCACTTATGTCTACTTATACACAGAATTCATGTTATTTGCTATCTATGTTAATTTATCTACCTCCTTAGATGTACTGCAGTAGAGACGTCACTGACATCTTAATGACATCAATTCATTCATTGCCTTATTGCTCATTTCTCCACTCACACACTCATTCAGGAAATGATTATTGAATGCTGGCAATGTTTAATTCACAAAATTATTGGCAGAAGGAAATGAAATTGAGGGAAAAAATCACAACGCTTTTCATGAAGCACCTTCATGGTATCTTACAGGAGAGGTAGGTTATTGTAATATGAGATAGAAAATTGAAAGGGACCTTTTACAAAAGACAAAAGTCAAATTCTGTGAGAATGCAGAAGTCTTTGTGTAACAGTGTTGAAGCATTTAGATTTTTAATAATAATATAAAATTCAACAGATACAAGTGTTTGCTCTATCAAAGCGATCTTGGGACTGTGTAGTTTTTGCTCTCTGACCTTGCTTTAGCCAGCCTTCTCTTTAATGCTGCCTTGAGCTTCATATTGTGTCACACCCCTTTTGACATTTTCTCAAAAGAGCCATACAGACTTAGAGTAAGCAACTGTGATATTTTTACGTGAACTATGCTGGGCTCTTCAACAGTATTACTTTCCCTGAGACTCTGTAAAATCTACAAATACTTATCTCCCTTGTCTCTCTCCCCATCTGCCACAATTACAGTCCCAATGATTGTCAGGAACCTTTCTTGTCCAGGTCTTTTGGCACAGAGACCCAAGAGTCCACTCACTTTGAGCCACCAGCCCTAATGGAGCTGCAGCCAGTGTACAGCAATGGTGAGGACTTCCTAAGGCTCAGAGGGCTCCAGGGATGAGCCAGGGAGGGAGGAGAGATTGAGCCACAGTCTATATCCTAGTCACAGTAAATTTAAAAATGGCATTCCTGTCACTATGTTGGGGATAGAACTTGGTGGCTGGGAAGAAGGGTCTAGACTGTGGGCTCTTGACTACAGCAGGCTATGATCAATTCTCTCACAGTGAATCCTGGAGATAGAGACTTGGTTTATACCCTGGTCGGGAGCATCCAGCATACAAAAGAACATTTAGGTAAGACATCTTCCGGACAAGTAGAGGTGAGGTGACAGTGTGTTATCAGATCAACAAGGAATCTTTGATCAAAGAGTCATCTCCAACATGAGTCCAAAATGAAAGAAATTTCCTGCTTCTCTTGTCTTGCCAATCATATAATCATATCCATTCCCTCTTACCTGTCTACACTGCCACTGCACAAACTCTTTGAAGACAAGTATAATTGTTACACTAATGTATCAATAGCATCTAGTGCAATGCTTGAAAAACTATAGGGCCCCTGAAATATTTTTTGAATGAATGAACATGACTGCTGAATTAAACTTCACATAATCTAATGTGCAGACAATCATAATTCTCTTAACTAGTCTCTTTTTTAAATCTTGTTCTCCTCCAACCTCCCAACAATCTGTTTCCAGCATGATCTCTGTGGGATATACAACTGATCCCATCATTTCATAGATTAACTGCCCACAATGACTCTCTACTCTAAAGCATGACCCTTTCCTCCCTCTGAACTCTGGCCTTGCTCTAAGATCTGCCTTATATCCTTACTCTAGGATATTTCTCATTTGGATATTTCTCATTTGTTCATTTGGATATTTCTCATTTCTCATTTGTTCAGTATGGCTCAGAGGGCTCCAGGGAGCCCTCTGAGCCTTAGGAAGTATCAATTCTCTCACAGTGAATCCTGGAGATAGAGACTTGGTTTATACCCTGGTCGGGAGCATCCAGCATACAAAAGAACATTTAGGTAAGACATCTTCCAGACAAGTAGAGGTGAGGTGACAGTGTGTTATCAGATCAACAAGGAATCTTTGATCAAAGAGTCATCTGAACTCGTGGCATTTCTCCTGATCATACTGGGCTCTTTCATGCTTTGGTGTTCATGCTTCTTATTTGTCCAGTAATGTCCTTGCCTTTAGTCTACTTGCTGACCCTTGCTCACATTTCAAGCCACAGTTCAGGCACCACTGTGAGACTTGGAGTGACTCCTACCAGCCCTCTTTATGTCCCAACCTGGGAGGAACTGATTGCCCTTTCATAGTTACACAGCATAGTTCAATGTTTGTCTATTTTGGTGCCCATAGTAATTTTTGTCTTTTTGTTTCCATGTCCATTCCTCCCCGTAAAAACTATAAGTTTCTTGATCATATGGACTGAATTTGTGTCATTTCTGTCTCTTTAAGACTTACCAATGCTTAATAGAAAGCCCTTGTTCCATGAATGCATATTGACCGAATAAACAAATGAGAAATATCCAAAGAACCCCTTGGAAAGATGGAACAGACACATATATTGCATTTTCTTTATGCTCTACTGCAATTGGCTTCCTTGGAAATTGTTCTGTGGCCTTAGAATCCCAACCCCATCTCTGGCCACCTCCAATTTCCCTATGCAAAATGAAGTGAATCATATTTGCCACCTTCTTCCAGATGATCAGTATAGTCAGGGACACCCTGGACTAGGGGGTGGGGAGATTGCTGGAGTTGTGATGGCAGTGGAGAAATAAGGAAATCATCAGGAAAGTCATTCTGGGCATTTGGTGAGCAAGGGAAAGGCTTGTGAGTGTATGTATGCAGAGGAGGTAACTCTTTGTCTGTGAGGGCTTGGAAGAATTCAGCAGAGGAGACAGTCAAGAGATGAGTCAACAGAGGAAAGATTGGCTTGAAACACATTGTGGGTAGGTTGTAAGTTGGAATATATCACCACAGTTTAAGACTCTTTTTTTTTCACCACCCATCCAACAGCAAATTCACCAAGGTTGAATTGGAAGCATAAGGTGGGTCATATTTTCTGGCTTTCTTTCCCTTCTGCTCTTTCTTACCTATAGTTAGACATTTACTGTTTGTATCTTTTCTCGCCAGGGACCCACAGTCATCTATTCAGAGGTAAAGAAGACACATCCAGATGACTCTGCAGGTCAGGCCAGCTGTAGAGGCTGGGCCCATGAAGATGCTACAGAAAGCTATGAGAATGTCCCGTCTACATCACTGGCCTTGTACCACTAGCCCTTTAGCCTGGGTGACCTCCAGAGACCCTGAAAAGCAGCCTATCCCATTCTCCCTGTTTTCTCCAACCATACACCCTCTGCCTCCAGGACTCAGCCTCCCAGGAGGCTGGGCTGTAGGGAACATGAGGCTGTGTGAAATATCTGCCAGCCTCCTCTGTCCCTGAGTTTATTCATCTCTAGGAATAGAGTGGGCATTTATTTGAGTAAATGTTGCATTCTTTTCTCAGTAGAGACACATGTGAAGGCAGGGCAGGTGGGCCTTCAGCTCCTGGGTCTGTGGAACAGAGGAGGGAGAAATGACCTAGCCCGGATCATAAGGGTGCAACATAGCCATTTAATTGAAGTGCAATCGAAAGCTTTTAATATACTATCTCTGCATAAACAGTTTACTCTAAACATTTTGTTTCCTTTTGTGTGTGTTTTTGGTAGTGGCATTGCTGATGTTATGGGGTGTATGCTAGGTTCCAGCTACCAAATTGGAAATGATCAAAAGGATTCATTCTATCTACATATATACTATTTCTTGAAATATGTATCAGTACTAAGAAATTTGAAAAAAATGACCAAGTCTATTTAAAGAGAGAGTGCTTCTAAATTACCTGATTAAATAGTGTTATGGACTGAATTGTGTTCCATCAAAATTCATATGTTGGAGCCCTAACCCCCAATATTACGATACTAGGAGATAGGGCTGTTAAGGAGGTAATTAAGATTAAATGAAGTCACAAGGGCAGATTGTAATCCAGTTTGACTGTTGTCCTTATAAGAACAAGAAGAGACACTGGAGACCTCTCCATCTCTCCTTGTGCACACAGAGGAAAAGCTATATGAGTACACAGCAAGAAAGCAGCTATCTGCACAGCCATAAAGTGGCCAGGAAGAGAAGTCTCACTAGAAACCAATCCTGCCAGCACCTTGATCTTCGATTCCAGCCTCTAAAACTGTGAGAAAATAAGTGTCTGATATTTAAGTCACCTAATCTGTGGCATTTTGTTATGACATCCAGAGCAGATTAATACAGATTTATACATAGATATATAGACGATAAATGATTGGTGATGATGATAATGATGATGAGGAGGAGGTTGATGGTAGATAAATAAATAAATAAACTAGATGCGGATATATGACACATCTCCCAACCCACGCAGAATTTTTGGTCTTCAAGATATTTTTGCTCTCACAGGATCAAACAGTCCTCCTACATGGAACAGCTCCATTTTGCTATTTAATTATTCGACATCCATTATTTGAATGCCACAGAAGCAACACCACCAACCTTGGAAGACCAGTAGAGCCAAGGATTCACATGACTCAGATGGCAAAGCTTAGTGTCACTCGGGAGCCCTCATGACCTGAGCTGACAGTAGATGTAGAGATAGATGCAAGGCAATCAGTAGGCTCAAAGGAGGACACCCTCTTCCTTTGCTCAAAGACTCCTAATCCACTCCTCAACTGACTGACAAACGTTGAGTGTCTACCACTGAAGAAAAAAACTTTAAAAGCATGCCTTTGTGCTTAAGTTTCAGGAAACATAGCAGAATAATTTTTATTCATAAGATCTGCTGAGGCAGGAAATGAAAAACTGAAATTGTTAGCCTCTGTCCTCCAGTGTTTCACTCGAATCTTATTAGCTCTGAAAATAATAGACCTTAAGAGAAGAAGCTAGTAAGTTCACTGATGACTGATGTATATCAACTAATACAATTTATGGACAACATGGATTTTACACTAGCCATTATTCATAACTTTAAGTAAATAACACAATGATGCTTTACAAACCTGGAAAATAACTTAAGATGAAATTATTAAGTGCATTTCTAATGTTTTGTTTTACTCCTTGGGGATCAGAAGCTTAAACAACAGAAAGTACAACATGTACTTTAGAAAAATGCAATCTGATTTGAAGTTTTTAACTGTAAGCTTATGAATTCAACTAGTAAGCTAATTTGCTGAGGAAAAAAATTATTTCCTTCTTAAAGAGGAAATACATATTTTTATTAGTAAACAGGATTTATACGTCTTGTCTCCATGTTAGTAAGTAAAAAATGCAATGTGGAATGTATGCCTGGCTTTTCAAGGGTGCAAGGGATCCAAGTGTAATCTATGTCTGTGCCTAAAGTTTGCTCCAAATGCTTCCCCATTTTGAGATCCAGGAAGAATAAAGCTGTATTTGGGGGAGGGGCCCATGTCACTAAATGCCAGCTGTGGGAAATCCATCTGAAAGAGTGGTGAAAAGGGGCAAACGTTTCTTTATTGACTTAAGAGAGAGGAAATTCCCAAGGGAAAATTACAAGATCTAGGCAGCATCCTGTGAACAGTGAGTGTCACTCTCCAGGAGTGTGCAACACTGGTGCAAGCAGCACCAAGGACAGTAGCCTCTAAGAAGGAGAAAATCAGCAAATAGCAGCAAGAGATGAGGCCCAGAGGAACTGTACAGAACACAGGATAGTTCCAAGTGTTTGGGGATCTCCCTCCCAGAACTCCTTGTCCAGGTCCAAACTGAGGGCAAATAGCAAGTAGTATCTGTAAGCAGTCAGGAAGAGTCTAAGAAATATTTGGGAGAAGATCCAAGAGGAAATTATGTTCCCAACTAGTCAAGAAAGTAAATTTGAGCCATTAAGATTTGAGACATTACTACAATTTTTTACACTATGGTTATTTGTTTACAAATTTATTGAATAATAATTTATGCTCAATAAATTGCACATATTTAAAGTGTACAATTCATTGAGTTTTGACAGATGTATACATCCATGAAACCACCACCACCACAATCAAGATTCCCCAAATCTCCATCACCCCACAGACTTTCCTCATCCTTTAAGCAATACTGCTTTCCCTCCACCTCTATCTTATGCAATCACTGATATGCTTTCTGTCACTATAGATTAGAGTCTATTTTCTAAAATTTTATGTAAATAGAATCCTACAGTATATACTCTTTTGTGTCCGAATTCTTTCACTAAGCAAAAAGATTTTGAGATTCATTCACCCTGTTTCATGTATGGACAGTATATTCCTTTTAATTGCTTAGTAATATGCCATTGCACAGATATGCCACCTTTTGATTATCCACTTACCTGTTAATGCACATTTGGTTTGTTTCATCTTTATTAAAAGCAAAGATACTATAAAAATTCATGCACAAGTATTTGTGTGAACATATGTTTATTGTTCCTTTGTAATACCTACAAGGGTAATTGCAGCGTCAAATAGTAGATTTATGTTCAATACTGTAATAGGCTGCAATACTCTTTTCCAAAACAGCTGTACCATGTTATATTTCCATGAGCAGTGTATGATAGTTACAGTTGCTCCACATCCTTGTCAACACTTGGCATTTTCAGTCTTCAATTTTAGTCATTCTAAGGAGTGTGTAGTGTAGCACAGTGTTATCTCATTGTGACTTAATTTCCCTGATGATCAATGATGTTGTTTATCTTCTCAAGTCCTTGGCTCTCTATAGATCTTATTTCATGAAATGTCTATTTGCACCTCTCACCTCTTCTTTATTGGGTTGTTTGCCTTTTTATTATTGAGTTGCAAGACTTTTTGAATATATTCTGGTCTGATTTATATGTTGAAAATATTTTCTCCCTGTCCATAGCTTGCCCTTTATTTTCTCAGTGGTGTCTTTTTAGAGCAAAAGTTTTTAGTCTTCATCAAGTCCAATTTGTCAACTTTTTCATCTTATGAGTATGCTTTGCATTTCCTACATAAGAAAGTATACCACAAGGTCAAAATATTCTAATTTTTTTCCTATTTTTTTATAGTTTTCATTTTTACACATAGGTCCATGTACCATTTAAAGTGAATTTGTGTATGTGTGCGTGTATAGTGTGAGAAAAAAAATGTTCCTTTTTTCTTGTGAATATCGAGTTGTTACAGCATTATTTGCTGAATAAACTTTCTTTTGAGTTGTTTGTCTTATTATCGAGTTCCTGGAGTTCTTCATATATTTGGGATATATATCCACTTGTCAGATATGTACGCAGCCAATTCTTCCTTCTGGTTTGTGACTTGCCTTTACATTTTCTTTAATGTGTCTTTCAAAAAGCAAACATTTTTAATTTAATGGAAATTATTTACCACTTTTTCTTTTATAGTTCATGTTTTGAGTATCCTGTTTAAAAACAATTTACCTAACTGAATGGCATAAAGATTTTTGTCAACATTTTCTTTTAGAAATTTATTGGTTTTAGCTCTTTTATTTATATATGCGATGCATTTCATGTGTCTTTTTGTACATGGCATGAGGTAAGAATTGATGTTAATATTTTCTCATACAGATATCTGTTTGACCACGATTTCTTTAAAAAACTACTTCTTTCTCATTGAATTACCTTTTCACCTTTGCTAATAATCAATTGACCATATAAATGTAAGTAAACTTCCGGACTATTCTGTTCCATTGATCTTATACATCTACTGTTATGCCCCAAACCACACTTTCTTGAATACCATTGCTTTCTATTAAGTCTTGAGATCACTTGGCAGAAGCTCATCAACTTTGTTATTTTTTGCCAAAATTGTTCCAATTAATATAGGTACTTTGTCTTTCCATATAAGTGTTTACATTGGCTTTTTAATTTATTTGAAAAAGCCTGTTAGAATTTTGATTAGGATTGCATTGAATCTATAGATCAATTTGAAGAGAATGGCCATCTTATCAAAATTGTCTTCCAATCAATGAAATTTATATAACTTTTCATTTCTTTAGGTCTTTAATTTCCTTTCTACACCTCTTTTATTAAATTAATTGCTAATGACTTTATATTGTATGCTGATATAAGTGGAATTTTTATTTCATTTTCTAATTTCTAGTATTATTTGGCAATATTCCTCAATTTTATGCAAGAGTTTGTGTAGGATCGATAATTTATTTTCCTTAGATATTTAATAGAATGCACCAGTGAAGCTGTTTGGACCTGGATTTTTTTTGTGGGAAACTTTTTTGACAAGTAATTTAAGCTCTTAATTGATAAAGGACTGTTCACACACTGTTATCTTTTTGTGTCAAGCTGTATTTTCCAAGGAATATGTCCATTTCATCTAATTGTAAAATTTGTTAGTATAAAATTTTGTATAATATTTTCTTATTATCTTTTTAATGTCTGAAGCATTTGTAGCTAACATCTCTTTTATTCCTAACACTGTTGATGTATTTGTTCTCTTTTTCTTTTTGATCTGTTTAGCTAAGAGTTTCTCAGTTTTATCAAAGCATCAGCTTTGTCTTTGTCAGTGGACTCTTTGTTTTCTATATTGTTGATTTCTGCTTTTATCTTTATTACTTTATTACATCTACTTATTTTGTGTGTGGTAGGCAGAATTCTTTGACGGCTCCCAAGATTCCTGCTCCCAGTGATCCTCATCTTGTATCATCCTTTCTTCTGGAGTGTGATCAGTACTTATAAATATGATGGGATACCACTCAACGATTAGATTACTAGTCATTTATCTTTGAGTAATCAGAAAGGAGATTTTCCTAAGCTAAATAATCAAGTAAGTCTTTCAAAAGAAGTGAAGCAGCAGAGAGGTTTTTCTACAGGCCTCAAAGAAGAAACAAACTGTCATGTTGTGAAATGCCTGTGAAAAGAGAGAGGCAGCTTCTAGGAGGTGAGGGTGGTCCCCAGCCAGCAGCTGGTGAGGAAGAGGACCTCAGTCACACAATTGAAAGGAAACGAAGGGAACTTGTAAGTGGGTCTCTTCAGAGTTAAGCCTCCTTATGAGGATCCCATCAGCTGACACCTTGATTTCAGGTTGCAAAAGACCCAGCTGAAACGTGCCAGGTTCCTGATCCATGGAAACTGAGATTGTAAATGTTTGTGGTTTTAAACTGCTAAACTTGTGGTAATTTGTTACACAACAATAGAAAGTGAATACATTGTCTGCTTTGTTCCTCTTTTTCTTGCTTCTTAAAGTGGTACCTTGGATTACTCAATTTAGGCCTTTCTTCCTCTCTACTATAAGCATTAAAAGCTATAAGGTTTTGATACTAAAACTGGTTTAGCTGCATGCCACACATTTTATTACTATTGATGTGGTTAGATTTAGGCCTACCATTTCATTATTTGGGGTTTTTTTCCTGATTTTTATTTTTCTGTTTGCCCTTCCTGCCTTCTACTAGACTATTTGTATATTTTTTAGTACTTTATTCCGTTCTAAATAGTTTCTAATAGCCATTATGATTTTTTTCTTTAACTCGTTATTTAAAAACATGTTCTTAATTTCCAAGTATTTGGGATTTTCCCGTATATCTCATTGGTATGGATCTTCCTCAACTTATAACAGAGTTTCATTCTGATAAACCCATTGTAAATTGAAAATATTGTAAATCAAAAATGCATTTTATACACATAACCTACTGAACATCATAGCTGAGCCTAGCCTACCCTAAATGTGCTCAGAACACTTGTCTTAGCCCACAATTGGGCAAAATCATCTAACTCAAAGCCTATTTTATAATGAAGTGTTGAGTATTTCATGTAATTTATTGAACACTGTACTGAAAGTGAAAAACAGAATGGTTGTATGGGTGCAGAATGGTTGTATCAGTTGTTTACCCTTCTGATCCTAGGGGCTGACTGGAAGTTGCAGCTCACTGCTGCTGAGCAGCATGATGAGAGAGTATTGTACTGCATATTATTAGCCCAGAAGATCAAAATTCAAATTTGAAGTACAATTTCTATTGAATAGGTATCACTTTTACACCATCATGAAGCTGAAAAATTAAGTCGAACCATTGTAAGGTGGGGACTGTCTGTATTGATTCCTAATTTAATCACATTGCAATTGGAGAACACTATATCATTTCAGTCCTTTCAGGTTTATTGGGACTTGTTTTATGACCCAGTATAGGATCTATCTTGGTGAATATACCATGTGCACTGGAAAATAACGTCTGTTCTGCAATTTTAGAAAGCAGTGTTCTACAAATATCAATTAAGTCAAGGAGATTGAGAGTGTTCAAATTTTCTGTGTCTTTCTTGAGTTTTTGTCTAGTGTCCTATGAATGGCTGAAACAGGAATGTTAAAATTTCCTACTATGATTGTGGAATTATCTGTTTCTCACATTATACTATCAATTTTTACTTTATGTATGAGGCTCTGGTGCTAGGTGCATACATATCAATAGTTATGTATTCCTGAAATTGTCCCTTTTATCATTATGAATTATCCCTCTTTATCTACAAAAATGCTCTTTGTCTTGAAGTCTATTTTATCCAGAATTAATGTAACTACCCGAACTCTCTTATGCTTACTGTTTGAATAATACATCTTTTTCCATTCATTTACTTTCAACCTATTTGTGTCTTTATTTTTCAAGTGTTTTTCTTGTAAGCAACAAGTAGTTGGGTCTCACTTTTTTATCCACTCTGATAATCTCTTGCTTTTCATTAGTATTTAGACCATCACATTTGAGGTAATTATTGATATGGTTGGAGTTATTTATTGTATTTTTTTGCTTTTTATTTATCTCCACTGTGTTTTGTTCCTTTGTTCTCCTTTTCCTTCTTTTAGATAGTTTGAATTTTTTTTAGTATTCTGTTCTAATATATTTATCTTTTTAGCTATACATCTTTGTATTATTTTTAGAGGCTAATCTAGAAATTAGAATATGCATTCTTAAACTTTCCTGATCTACTTGAAATTAATATTCTACTTATCCAAAAAAATGTTGAAATTTTGAAACCATATAGATATTTTTATATCCCTGCCCCTTTAATCCTTTATGGTATAGTTGTAATAGGTACTATACTACATACATTAAAAAAATCACATAAGCAATTATGACAATTTGTGTTTTAAGTAGTCATACATATTTTAAATAATTTAAGTAGAAAAACATAATCTTTCATTTTCCCCTAGATATTTACCATTTCAATGTTAATTTTTCCTGAAGATCAAAGTTTCCTTCTGATATCATTTCCTTTCATCCTGAAGAGCTTCCTTTAAAATTTCTCGTAGCACACGTCTTCTGTAAAATGAGTCTCTAGGTTTTCCTTACCTAAGAATTTTTTTTCTTTAATTTGGCGTTCATTTTTGAAGGATATTTTTGCTGGATATAGAAAACTGGTTAAAGTTATTTTTTTCAATATTTTGAAGATGTTGTTCCACTGTCTTATTGTTCTGTGGTTTCTGAGAGAAGTTTGTAATTCATTCAAGTAATTGTTTTTCTGCAAATAATGTGACTTTTTCTCTGGGTACTTTCAAGATTTTCTCTTTATCTGTGATTTTCAGCAGTCTGGTTATGATCTTCTTAGTTATGGTTGTCTTTGAATTTATCCTTTTTGGAGTTCACTGAATTTCTTAAGTCTATAAAGTTATGTTTTTCACCAAATTTTGGAATATTGAAGCTATAATTTCTTCAAATATCTTTTTGTTTGTTCAGTTGTTTCTCTCCTCTCCTGCTGGGATTCCAAGTACATGTATGTTATACTTTTGCTATTTTCCCACATGTCCCTAAGGTTCTGTTCATTTTTTTCTAATTTTTTCTATTTTTCAAACTGAATAATTTCTATTAATATATTGTCAATTTCACTGACTCTCCCCTCTGTCTTACCTAGCCTGCTGTAAGGTCCATTCAGTAAATTTTTCAAATATTATAAATTTTATTTCCAAAATTTTTATTTGTTTTTTGAATATTTATATGTCTTTGCTGAGATTTTTTCTGCATTTTCATTCATTTTGTGTATATTTTCCTTTACCTCATTGAAAATAATTATAGTGACTGCGTTAAAATCCTTGTCTAATAATTCCAACATTAGAGGCACTTGAAGTTGGCATCTATTAATTGTCTTTTTCCCAAAAAATGGGTCTCATTTTCCTGGTCTCCCGTATATTGAGTAATTTTGAATTATGTCTTAGACATTAGAAATGCTATGGCATGTAAATTCTGTGTTCTATTACATGCATCTGAAGAATGTTGA